ACAGTGACAAACCAGCAGACCAAGGTCTACAGCTCGAAACAGCCCGCTGTCATCTCTCAGAAACACGTGTCACAAAATCCGCTTGCGCATTCGGGGGCAAACCTCCATTTAGGACACGGGCTTCTGTGGACACGTTGTTTAGGGAAGCCCTCTTAGTGTCTCCGCATTCGTCGGAAACCAAACAACCCTCAAACCAGGAACGGTTAGAGGAAAGGGAAACCAAGGAAAACAGGAAAGGAACACAAAAGATGCAGGACAACGACACCGAAAACAGAAAGACACATAAATATTCAAAAAGAGCAATGGATAGAGGACAAGGCAAGGGAAGGAACATGACAACGAGAAAGAAGAAGGAGAAGAAGAGGGAGTAGGAGGAGGAGGAGCAGAAGAAGAAGAAGAAGAAGAAGAAGAAGAATATGAATACAGTAACACTTTTTTCATCCTTGTTGTATCGGGCATTGCTCGCTTGCCTCCAGTGTCGCCGCCAAGCTTTTGTTGCTACGTACCCAGGTCTGGCACGATCACAGCCGAGAACTTGCGCTGCGCCGCTTGGAGATTGTATTTTGGCGGGTTGCAAGTTTGCGGGTGTGACCGCAGCAAGACTTGCAGGGGGCTGATTTTTCTCTTGGATACATTGAAAGCATTGAATTCACCCACGTCTTACCGTCTTACAATTTTTGCAGAATTGACATGCCACAATTGGCCTTCACCTCAATTTTGTCTTGCGGTTTTGCATAACCAAAGCAAGGCCAATGTCCAATACAAGAATCGATAGCCTATATACATGGCCAACAGAATACCCGCCTTTTAACTTATCGGGAAACCCAGCCAGGCAAGGATCGACCTTCAAACCCATTGTTGCATTGGCCCAATTTCTGTGCGTTAGACAGCGGTGCTTCATGATTGCCAGGTGGACATGTACATAAATGTACATTATGATTATGTAATTATAACAACCCTAACTGTATAACCTCGAGTAATCAATACAGTATACTATAACCTGATTCTGATTCCTTATATATTATATTTATCAACTTAATAAAAATTACAACTGTATAACTACGCATCAATATGAGTTGTTCGAAGCTCTGAGACGAGACGCTACCGCGAGATGCCAGGTGCACCTGCTCTAAACTTGCAGGCGAATGCATCGTGTTGACTCTGGGTGCCTAGTCCGGAGTTTTGTCAAACAGGTCCTCGGGGAGCACTTTGGTGCAGCCTCCAACCTAATAGCGATGGCTTTCAACCTACTAGCGATGGCCTCAGGTCCTCGGGGAGCACTTTGGTGCAGAGATGGAAGAACTCATTAGAGAGGCGGGTCGAGCGAAAACCCGACACGAGCGGAGTCCTGAGAGTTGTCATTGGCACGATGGGGCCTGGATGTCGGCGGAACGATTTTGTGGTGTTCCCGAAAGCACCTGCGAAAGGTTTCGCATAGCAACGAGGACACATAGACTTTAACTTCATCATAATCATCTATGCTACCTCACCTCGTCACCTTGGTCACCTCTGTCACCACTGTCACCACTGTCACCACCACCATCATCATCAGTTCATGACCATCATCACTGTCCTCTTCATTATCTTCATGTCCTTTGATATAAATTACAAATTTCTTGCACAGACAGACAATTTGGATCTAGATGTATTTGCAAGTGTTTGGTTCCAGCAATAGGCACTACTTATGATTGATGCCACGCTAGATTGCTCTTCTTGCTCAGCAACATGGCAGCCAGGATTTGGTGCGATTTCGTGTCCTTCGTGTGCCTTTGGACATATTCGGTTTGAAAAAAAACGTATCGCACAAGAGGTTCCATTGCTGATGCGTCACTGGATTGCTCCAACTGCCAGGCAACCTTTCTTGAAGGCTTTGGAGCAATCACCAGTCCTTGCTGTGGCAAAAATCCTCGTGACCCTGGCTTCGTCAAGTTCACAAAAGTGAGAACGGCACAAGTGTCTCTCATGCCACACTGTCATGCACTTCTTGTGCTGCAACATGGAACGCAGGCTTTGGTGCCATCAAGTGTCCTAGCTGTTGTGATGGATTTGTCAACTTCCAAGTTGGTCAACATGATGCGACATTGACTTGCACGAAATGCTCGATGCATTGGCTTGAAGGCCATGGGGGCATTCGTTGCCCGACCTGCAACAGTGGCTTTGTGAAGTTTTTGAAGCAGTGGCATGGGCCTGTGACAGATGCATCCTTGTCTTGCACCGGATGCAAGAAGACTTGGTCTGAAGGCTGCGGAGGTGTCAAGTGTCCACGCTGCGAACATGGTTTGGTTCGGTTCTGCAAGACCGGTGGTTCTCACAGCCTGATTGACGCGTCCTTGACCTGCACGGGTTGCGCAAAAGAGTGGCACGAAGGGTATGGCGACATTCCTTACCCACGCTGTTCGACTGGGTTTGTCCGATTTACCAAGCACATGGAATCTCAACAGAAGCATCGTGCCTCGGCCTCTCATTATAGATTATAGAGCGCAAAGATCTAGCAGCTCCTTCGCTTCATGCTTGGATCCAGAAGTGCTGCACTACACTCAAGAGAGCATCAAACGCTCCTTCCGTTGTGGGCGCTCACTCCAGAGCACCATCCAGGAGTTGCAGAGAAACCCCCGTGCAGCCTTCCAAAGTATACCCATCATCCAGATATTTGCGTTGGACGGGAAGATGTGGACAGCGGACAATCGGCGGCTTTACTGCTTTCGCCAGGCCAAGCTGACCGAAATCCCAGTAAGACACATCCAAGCTGCTCGTGTTGATCCCCGGAAATTCACTTCTACAAACGGTGGAATCAGCATTCGTGTGCGATAGCAGTGGATATCGTGAAGTTTGGTCAAGCGAAGCAAACTGCAGACCGGAAGCAGTTTGCTTTGACATTCTATGCAGAGACTTGCACGAAGAAAAAGAGTACATGCCGGGCAAGAATCAGTTGGAGTCCCCGCTGTGTAGCTGATCAGACACTCGCCCCAGACAAAAAAAGACAAACAACCTATTCTGCCCGAGAAAAGGCAGTGAAAACCAGCGACCTAGCGGGGCAATGTCTTGCACCCTGCTTCCTAGTGGAACGTGGCTCGAAATTAGCAGTTGAAGAATCCCAGCAGGAGTGGTCAGTGTGTGCCGTTTTCTTTCACCCGGTCAGGCAGATAAGAGTGGGCATGGCCAGATTGACTACGATGAGCTGCCGAGCACGAATTGGATCGCCAGGACTGTGGACATAACAATAGTCTGATAATGTGCGACATATGGCAGACTCTCCTGAACAAGATGTAGATTGTAGATTGGCGTAAATGGCTGGTTTACCGATTTCTATATCTCAACATGCACAGAATTAGACTGGCTCTTGTCAGACTTGTCAGTCATTGAAGAAGTTATACTACTGACCAGTGACTTAGGACTTGTCGGAGGTATGCCAAAAATTCAATGTCCTATCTCATGAGTAAAAGTACTTTGAGACACGCTTTTCGTCCACAACTCCTATCTCATAAAGCCTAGCAAGGCAAAACAGGAACGCTCTTGAGTTTTTTTTCAACAAAAATGGTGTGCCCAGGGCATGTTTGGCCGGATGCCAACACATGAGATAAGACTTTGGAGATGTGCATGCAGTCTGAGTTGGGACTTGTTGGCAATCTGCTGTATGTTTACTCCTATCTCATCATGGAACACCTGCTGTTCTAAAATGGCAGGGTTTGATTTGGCCTCATGAGTTAGGCCTTGTGCTGCACAACTCCTAACTCACTAGTAGCGCAAAGTCCTAACTCACCAGTAGGTAGTATATAGAGAATTGTACTCTATCGTCGACAGCATCTCGTTGTTTTTTGTTTGCGTTTCTTTTTCACAATGGCAGATGCTCACCCTAGGGCTCCATGAGGCTTCAGGATTTTCCCGGATACCTAGCGTCTATGGTACTTTACAGCTGTGACAAAGCGATTCCGATCTGCCCACAGGCCAGTTGGGTTCGGCAGGCCAGTGTTCCCCTTTCTTCGTCGCTGTGGGTCCCATCTTTGACTCAAAGCACGATGGCGCCCCAACATGCGAGAATAGGAGCCCCGAACGTAGCGTTCTTGCTCCGTTCGTAGCGATGCCCTTTGCTCCTAGTAGCCTCTTGCTACTAGTAGTACATCCAGGAGCCCCTAAGTAGCGTCCTTGCCTTGAATGTTTCTTTTCACAGGGAAATTGACATCTTCCATTGCCAAACCGACGGCATGACACTCGAAATCGGAATGAAGACAGTCCTCGCCCAGACCCCCCCAAAACATTATCTTCACTGATTTTCACTGCTTGCGCAACATGAGGTTCTTGGCATACTTCTACAGGTGGCCTGACCAAAGATTTGTTGCGTGTGTGGCTTGCGAACTCCCACTTGCAATGCCAATAGCCACAAGGTTGTTGGGCAAGAGATTTTGGAGCGCCTACGCTTGGCAGACCCTTGAACTTGCCATGTTGAGGACGTGACCGACTTAACGATTTGTTGCATCTCCACGGGGTTTGCTAGGCAAACTCCTCTGATGTGATAATGACCTGGCAGGACTGTACACTTAAGCTATCTAAAGCTTGAACATCCATGTTGAAACATTCATGGTTAGGGGTATTATTGATGAAATCCACGACAACATCCATGAGAGCTCACAATAGTGGGCCTTAAAGGTACTTGTCTATATAAGATATGTAAGTTGAATTGGGTCCACACACACTCACCACAGTAAACAGACATGTTGAAGACAAATAGCCACTGCAGGTATCGAACAAGAAGTGTGCTTTTCTTTGAGCAGCCTTAATCCCAGAAAGGACTAACGGAAATAAACCACATAAATTGGAAAATGATGCTCTTTGCCTTCACTCAATGAGCTTCAACTAGTAGCGATGGCCTCCAACCTAATAACGATGGCCTCCAACCTAATAGCTTCTTGCAATATGTCCCGGTTCATCCAGGCTATGTAGGATCTTCTTGGCGCGCCAGGTCAGATACCGATGGCTTGCCCCAGTATAGCGTCCTTCCACCCATGGGAACGCAGGCGGGAAAAAATTCAGTACTGAGTTGTTTTTTCGCCACAAAGAGACTTTGACATGCCTTTGACAAACAGCTGCACCCTGTTTTGCTAAGCGCATGTTTGACATTGGCTAGTTAGTACTTAGTAACTAGCAACACTACATGTTTGTGAACTGACTGTCATTTGTGGCCCCCAAGACATCCAAAAACCCTATGTGTGAGGGCTCTGTGATGAGCGGTGCCAATGGTGCTCTGCCACAGCGGAACTTCCCGGCCTGGGCAGCGCAAAGCGACCTTGGCAGCTTGGAGCAGTTGAGAAGGTCATCGAGGTTGGAAACCACCTATTTTGTTTCAGAACGGGTGCTCCTGGGATGTTTTTTTTGTGCAAGAAGTCATCAAAAACACTGTGTTTTACAGTGATTTGGCTAAAACATCAGCACCTAGGTTTTCAGCTATTTTTAGATCAGTTTTGTGAGGACCAGGCCTATAACAGTTTAGAGGGGATACATTGTGTTTTACAATGATTTTTGGCTAAAACATCACCAACACCTAGGTTTTCAACTATTGTTAGATCAATTTTGTGAGGGCCAGGCCTATAACAGTTTTGAGGAAATACTACAAAACCAAAAAGCAAAAACCAACAAAAACAAAACCCACAAAACAAAAACACAAAAACCCAAAAAACAACAAACACAAAACACCATAAACACACCAAAAAACCAATGTTTGAGACAAAATGGGTACTATAGAAGTTGGAGTTTTTTTTTGCCTCCATTTTGTCTCAACCGTTGTTTTTTTTGTTTTAGTTTTTTTTTTTTAAACAAAAAAATGTTTTTTGTTTTTTTGGTTTTCTCTAGTTTTCTCTTAAACTTTGTCGCGCAGCAGACATTCGTGATAAGTTGCACAGTCTTTTTTAATATATTGCATTTCTGACACGGATGCATACTTAGATTTCAGGGTTTGTACAACGGCTTTTGCCAAGTACTGGCGCCACTGTGCTTCCGACAGTATCGCTAAACGCAAGTCCTGCGTAGAAAATTCTCTATACAACCCTTATTAAAAAGCCATTGAACTTTGATCAAAACAACTCTGGAAAGGCTACCCTTCACGAAGCCACCATACCCTAAATAAAGTGTACCCTAAATAAAGCTAAACATGTTTGTTGCCTGTTCTAAGAATCCAAGTAAAGATTCATTTCATTTCCTGATTAATCTCCTTTCTTAGAATTCCCTCTCTGTTCTAAGTAAAAAATCATTTGACTTATTAAGCTCCTTTCTTAGAGTTCCTTTTCTGTTCTAAGTGAAGATTCATTTCATTTCCTTATTAAACTCCTTTCTTTAAGCCACCATACCCTAAATAAAGTGCACCCCAAAATAAAGCTAAACATGTTTGTTGCCTCTTCTAAGTATCTAAGTAACAATTCATTTCATTTACTTCTTAAACTCCTTTCTTAGAATCTGGAATGAACTTTATTCAAGGTCAAAGTGAGGCGGAGGGGGGGGGCTGTTTATTAACAATACGGGTGCTCCTGCTAGATGTTTTTTACAAAATGGACACATGAAAATACATCATTAAAAGCCAGAAGCAAGAGACTAAAGTTAAAGCAATATCATTGACATACATGTTCCTGTTGATGTATATGTATAGTAGTATATTTATATTCGCTCCTCATGATGCTACATTCATTGCGTGCAGAGAAAGATTAGCCTACTCGTCATTGGTGTTACACATTGATAGTAAGCAAACGAAGAGCTGTTAATTGTTGTAATTGACATTGCGCATCCAGACTGGGCACAGTAAGGTTGAAAAATATGCGTTTCGCCTAGGTCCCAGAGTAGTTTTGAAATTTTGCACGGTATTTACAGTGTTTTCTAAGGTTTTGAGCTAGTGTGTGCTCTCCCAAGCACACCTGCTCTCTTTTTTAACAAATATGTGTTGATATTGTCTCATGTTCAACATTGTTAACTAAGTGAGATGAAGGGAGACATACAGGGCACGCCCTTGTCAGGCGCCTGAGGGTGAAATGTTTTGCACCTTGTGGAACGCCATCATTTCGTTATATACAACTTTACCTACTTTTGGCCCGAAAGATCATGCCTTCTACAGGAGCTGGCTGGTTTTGCATGTGAAACAGGTGGAGAAATGTTCTTTGACCTGCAGTCTTCACGTCGCAGACAAGGTCTGGGTCTCCGCTTTCGACCGCTGAGGCAATGCCGATCCAACATATCCCCCATATCCCGCAGGAGGTGAGGTAGGTAGTCGCTAGCCGCTAGAGGTAGCTAGTAGCTTAAGTAGCTACTACCGACAGGACGCAGGATAGCTCCGACAGGATTTGGTTCCTAGATTTTTAGGGAAACTTAACTTACATTAGCATTTAAGGCTTCATTGGAGCTTCATTGGTTAAAGGAAGGGGTCAAGACTGCAGAAGTTGTTCTTTGGGCTCAAGGATTTCTTTTGAGGAGTGCGCTTCAAAATAGGTGGTTGCCAGCTCTGCAGAAGAGCTGTAGCGCGGCTGAGGTTTCTATGGCAAGATGCCAGTGGTTCTGGCCCCAGATGCTTTTTTTTCTGCTGGATAGTTGGATCCGATCCCGGCGATTCCTGATCAATCGAGTGCCCGTGTTTGACAAACTGCTGTATACGTCCATAAAGAGGTCCCCCCAAGCACGCCAAATTCTCCATGGTTGGGATGAACCATGTATATTCTTCTTTTCCAAGAGGTAGTGCAGTCATGCAATTCTTGTCAATTCTTCACTGAGGGTATCACTGGTCGTCACCGGTGTGGTCAAAACTGTATAGATACCTACGTTTGGCCTGCAAAGGTGCAGTTTTATAGTATGTAGACTGCAGACACATCACTGAGCAAAGGACTCTTGTTGCAGGATACCCATAGTCCAATCCACATTTTGCCACCCGTCTCACATTCTCACATGATTCCCACCAGTCGGAACGCTGCTGGGGATTTGGAACCTTAGTAAGCCTTAGACATGTGATTTGGAGGCCCAAGTACCAACTGGACAACTTGCTACTACAGTCACTAGATTAGAGAGAGCTTCAGTCATCATGCAAAGCATTGGGTTGTCCAAGTTATTTCTCCAAATAAGTGGCTTTACACTGTAGCCGGGACAGTAAACCACACATGTATGAGTGACTCTCCGATGCTGCAACTTGTCAAACTAGTCTCTAATTGTCTCAAGATGTCTCAGTACTAAGTACCCTTATGGATGCGTGCATATGGTTGCTATTAGTTGCTGCGTGATTTCTCTGGAAATGGAATAGAGATGACCGGGCAAACACGGGGGTTTTCGGCACCTCTCGCTCAGGCCTCCTGGGCCTCGGTGCCACCGACCTTCTCCGTGCAGTCGGCACCGGTGTCGCAGGCAAGGAACGTGAAGACGGGGGACGGGGAAGATGGGGGAAGATGGGGAAGAAGGCAGAGGTTGTTTGGAGGGAACTGGGATGTCATGCGATGTCATGCCAATGCAAAAGAATGCAAATATGAATTTGGAAGTGAGACATGGTTGATGTCCCGTCATCGGACATCGAGTGTAGTGGGAACCTGGCCAGCTCCTCCAGTGTTCCTGCCATACTAGTTTAAGGTGATGTGTGGAGACTTCATTTGCTTGATGTTGCCAGGGCTGCTGTTTATTTTTTGTCGTGCAAGGGGTAGCTGATGCTGTTTTCTTGCTCACAATTTAGGATGCCAAGCCGGCCTCATATGCCCTGCTTTCTCGCTGGCAGGAAGCATGGGAAAAGCGGAAGGCAAGGTCGGGGCAAGTCTTCGTTGAAGGGGGGGTCCCTAGAGGGTGTTGAAGGAAGCACAATTCTTTCAACTTTTTCAATAGACTGGACTAGTTTCAAGGCCTCAAAGCTCCTTGATTTTTGCCTGCCATAATAGTAGGATAGCCAGGATAGCTATTTTTTATCTAACGGTGGAAAAGGTTATTTTTTTTTTGCCAGCTGTGACTCCATACAAAGGTTTTTTTTGCGCTTTGCGCTTTCCTCCATGTTGGGAGCCGCATATGCCCATGGGCCTTTGGCTTCAGCCCAAATCCTCACTTGTCTCCACCAAGTCTCGATCGTGGCCAATATAGGACTCCCTAACCTCCATGATACCATAAAATGATGTTCTAGCCCAGTCAATGGACGCCAACAAAACATGTCGCAGAGTTTGGGCCTGAAGAGGTTCGAGTGCAAGTTGACTCCAAACTTCTGAGTGTATTGCTTTCCTTCGTGAACATACTGTACCACAAAATCATGGCTTTTCCCCTGCCCAAGCATGTATATATCTTGAGTCTACGGGTTTGTCATATGTTTATCGAAGATCGAGACCATCACAGCACGTTGATGCAAGTTTGCATAGAGATTATTGTTATCTTTATTCATCATTTTCCAATCTATGTGGAAATACTCATCTTCTTTTTGCATGAGTGACCGTGTTGTTGAAATTTGTTTTCAGCACTATCCATGTTCCTCTTCTGGACTAAGTACATCCACTTCGCCCACTTGCAACCAGTGGTTCACTTCCCACAAAGCGAGGCGCGAACCGAGAAGTTGGGCGCGGTGATCGACCATTTGCTCGAAGGCACCGGGGCATCACCGGGCGGCGGAATGCCGCTGGAAGCACAGCTGGTTCTGGGAACAAGAAGCTACTAGGAGCAAAGGGCATCGCTACTAGTAGCAAGGACGCTACTAGTAGCTCCTGGCCTTGCTACTAGGAACAAGAAGCTACTAGTAACAAAGGGCACGGCATGACTACAAGTAGCTCCATGTAGCTCTTCTCTCCTGGTAACAAGGTGCATCGCTAGTAGGAAGCACATTGTCACCTTTGCAGAGTTCTCAAACCATACTGGGTCATACTGAAGCCACCAACCCGCGACCTGGTCGGCTTGACCAACCCGCGACCTCGGTGTTCTCGCGTTCCTAAGTGACTGGATCTGACCCCCTCACATATGCAGAGCCTGTTGAGATTAGCGCGATTGGTGGAGTTCACACGAGTTCACGGGTCCTGAAGGAGAATGTTCATCACCTCAGAGATTGGTCCACCGACCTTGCCACTACCTTCATCCTCATTCATGAGATTGCCGAAAAAGGGGGGTGGGCCTTATTCGTTGGTTGTTTTAGGATCCATTCAATGAGTCCCAAATCTGGGGTTGAGGGGGACAAGAGCTGCCTCATCACTAGTCGCTTTGTTGATCTCATGTTTCTCGCTGACACTGGACTTGCCACCGCAGCCGTTTCTTGGCAACCTTGGAGAGCATGCTCCACAGAACTGCGAAACAGAAGGCACTCTTGCACGATGGAATTCTCAGTGCCAGCTCTCAGTGGGTCAAGACCTTGTGTGAGCTACCGCAAGAATAATAAACACACTTACATTTGTGATGTGCCCACCACGAATGCAAGAAACCTGTCAGTCTCACAGGAGTGACTGACGGCACACAGCGACCCACATCGACCGGATTCTCTTCAGAACACATCCGCGACGCCCAGCCGTGCACGAACCTCGCTTGGAGCAGGTGGTTGTCGTTGTCGTGTTTCACACTTTCGTCTTTAGATGGCTTCATTCACATGCTTGTTGAGTGTCTGGCGTTTTGGCACCATTGGTCTCTTGACCAACCACGCTTCATTGATTCTGTGTGGGAATTAATTAACCTATATTTGAGACTCAGCTGTTGGTTGTATACCAACAAATCAGAACATTTCAGGGCGGGACTGCTTTTCGCTGTTGCTCGGGGCCCGAGGCCCGAGTATTAGAGTTTCGCACGTGCAGGATGGACGTGATCGAGGAGGAGCACTTTTTCCATTTGGTGGAAAAGATGTGTGCTGCACACAAGCAAGAGCTTCTCAGCGAGCAGGGACGCGAGCACTCACGTATACCAACATCGATGTGTGGTTGGGTCTGATGGGTCCCAGTGTGACTGCTTTAGAAGTGTTGTTGTTTGATGAGGTGGATCATATATATATATTATAATAGAACTCATAATATGTACATTATATATGTATGCCACACACACACACACCACTGTAGGGGCAGAAGGAGTATTGGCCCGTTCAAGCGAGGGTGGAGAACGAATCAATCGTTTTCCAAGCTTTTGTTTGGTGTTGCTGCAAAGCTTGTCTTTAGATTGTGCAAATATGCTTGTATTTGAGACCTTTTTGCCTCTCATTGACTTAGTTTGTGCATGTTTGGCAGAGTTCGCATCTTCTCAGGGTTCAACTACTCCGAGATCAGATTCGCTACTTGTGGCTTGGACTGGAGAGTCTCAGAGCCTCGTTCGGACTTTCTTGGGCTTCACTTTGGCATCGCAGTACGTGGACCCAGTTCCGCTCCATCTCCATCTCTGACACCAATCTTATTGCCCCATACAACCAGAGCAGAGAAGGGGAGGTCTTCGTACTTCTGGAGTCGGGAGCATCCAAGCAGACCCCAAGCAAACCTGACGGGTCTGGGCGGGCTGGGCTGTGGGTCGATGATTTTCCGCGGGGGTGCAGTGATAGGGGGTTTCTTCCAATGCTGTCAGCACCGGCATTGGGTTGTGGCTTCAGCCGCATGAAATGCCGAGCAATCGAGTTGTTCAATTCTGCACTCGCTTCGCGACACAAAAGGTTGGTGGAAGGGAAGTGAAGGATTGGTGACAGGCGAAGATACATGAGATGTTTGTACCACCTTTACATTCGTTTGTGCATTGGAACTTGTTGAATTGACATGGTAGATTGGATGGTTTGGGTGTATTTGGAATCTTTGGATTTTCAGGTAGCACACATGTGGGGAAGATTCGCGAAAGCAAAGACGAAAGGTTCTCTTTCAAGGCGAAAGGTTCGCATCGGGAATCGGGCCCCACGAGAGTTGGAATTTTACAGAAATGTTCAGATCATCAATTTTTATTCAATGTGTCATTGCAAGATTTGTTCACAAACAAAACATACTTTTGCAAACAAAATCCTCCAGCAAAGAGTTTGTGTCGCTATGGTGGTGAGAGCAGGTGAATCGTTGGCAACAAAGGGACGTAAAATCGTTCGGTTCGCGTCAGCGGAACGTTGGATTCTGCGAGGCATACACCCGAAGGCCAAAAGCTTTTCCGGGACCATCACTCGCTTCACGACCAACACAAACATGGTGACCATGGTGATCATGGTCACGAAAATCATGGTCATGCCGCTCATGGAGTTTCAGGTGGTTGCCAAGCTGCAGGGGGGAGCGAGCAGACACATGTGCTTTTGCTAAAGGATTATGGGAATCGGTTTTTAAATGCATGATAGGAGATTGATGATGATTGATGTGAACAGCCTTCCATCATTTAAATATGGGATTTGCGACAGTCCACATTGAGAGAACATTCAGGTCAACCCTCATGGATAGGGCGACACGTGCGTGTGTGTGTGTGTGTGTGTGTGACCCTTGTAGTCACAGGGATTCTTTTTGAATTGTTTTTGAGCAGGGGGGCAGAGGGATCTCCAGTTGTGGCCTCTGCCAACGAAGCTCCACACTGGATGATCAGGAAAACGTACCTGCCTGGTGCACCTGGGCGCATTGTAAGCCGCAGCTGGCCATTCTTCTTCCTTTTGTAAATTCCTGGCCTTTAACTAAAGGCGCTCAGGCCCCCTCACCTGGTTTTTCAGGATTTGCTGGCATGGGGCATTCAGTTCAGTACACCCAATCATAAGTGTGTCTGGCTTCATGCCAGCCCGGGATGAGCCCGCAGAGTGCCTCCCGTGGACCCGTCGAACGGGGGTTTATCTTGTCCCTGCGCCCGGGGCCAGAGCAGCTCGCAGCGAGCGTAGGTGGCCTAGGCCGAGAGAACTCAGACTTTTGTCTCTTTTTTGGAATTCCAAGCTGGCTCATGCCTTTACGTGACCGCAGCGGTCTAAGCAGCCAGCCACTTTGGCAGGGCACAAGGTGACCACAGCGGTCAAAGCACTTTTGAGGTTCGTTGGAACCTGTCGAGAGCTTAGTCCCCCTTCCTCCCCCCAACCCCTGCTGGGAACACTTGTCCTCTGCCCCTCTTTTCCCTCTCTCTCTTTTCTCCTTCCTTTCCTTTCCCTCCTTCTTGTTTGGGTGTCCCTGGATGCTTTTGTCATAGCTGGGAACCCTTCTTTTCTCTTGGTGTGTCCTTGGACGCTTGTGTCGTAGCTGGGAACACCTTCTTTTCCTTTCCTTTCTTCTTTTTCTTTCTTCTCTTCTCTCCCTACCCCTCTCTCCTGTCGGGACCTTAGAGTGGGACGCTACTAGGGGCTTCTGGCCTTACTACTAGGTGCAAGGACGCTACTAGGTAAGAGCGCCTCCCCTTCAGGAGGCCTGTGTGTGTGCCCCTTGTAGTCACAGGGATTCTTTTTGAATTGTTTTTGAGCAGGGGGGCAGAGGGATCTCCAGTTGTGGCCTCTGCCAACGAAGCTCCACACTGGATGATCAGGAAAACGTACCTGCTTGGTGCACCTGGGCGCATTGTAAGCCGCAGCTGGTGGCCATTCTTCTTCCTTTTGTAAAGTGCTAATGCAGCTGCAGTCATGCACGGCACGTCGTCATCCTGTCGGCTCGTCGCTTCGTGGTTTTGGAACTTTGGCCTTTAATTAAAGGCGCTCAGGCCCCCCTCACCTGGTTTTTCAGGACTTGGTTTTCTTAGGCTGGCGTGTGGCATGGGGCATTCAGTTCAGTACACCCAATCATAAGTGTGTGTTCTTTTTTGGCAACATTTGAGGCTTGAAGGGAGAAACTGTTGGTCAACAAATGAAGGCTGGCAGTTTCTGTACTTACATGGCTTAGCTTGAGTTCCCACTATTTTGCAGGCAAGCTGCAAGCATATTTTCGGTTTAGTCCTCAAGTGCTTTAACAATGAGTCAGATACAGTTTGCCAAGGTTTGCCCATGAACGCTAAACCTTCTTGTTTATCTATTTCGACGGCGGGGGTTCCTCAAGTCACACACACGGTCTCAACAGTTCCTTGTGAAAAGAATGCATTGGTAAGATGTTGTTCTTTTTTTCTGGGTTGGAGTATGCTGCCATAGGCGCTCTTATTGGCATTCTCCGCTAAATTCACAGCATTCTCGCGTGTTGCATGTCCAGATGAGAAAGAGCGCATGTCGGGATGTCTGGCAGGAAAACTGACGCCCCTGTTCGCCCCGAAGACTGCTAAGGTATGATGCAAAACGAGAGACTCTTGGTGAGGAAAACAGGGAAACGGCAGGAACTGGGTGACAGTGGTGAGGAAGGAGCAACAGTTCAAGTTGTGATGTTTTCATGGAGGTGCTAAGATCGGTCTGTCAATTTTTTTTTTTGGAGTTTTGGACCAATCCTGCCCCTACCAAGATGGTAGGAGAGCCTCCTGACATGCTCACATTAAGATTCTGCAGATGTGTAGGATGTGAGGTCGGAGTGGTTCAGATTGGGTGAGAGACCTATAGACAGATACCTTTTCCATGATATATAGGTGATAAGTTCTCAGTGCAATTGAAGAGCAAGAACAAAATTTGCCTGTGCTTCCAACTAGAACATGCCATGGCTGATGGGTCTCTGATGGGGTAGTTCCGTGGAGAACTCCACCGACAAGGGCAAGGCAGGACAAGGTCGGGAGTTTGACTTTTGCAGTGACAGGATTCTCGTACCTATTGCATACAATGACCAAGCGAACCAAGAAACAAGCAAACTTCCGACGCAAAAGAACGCACTAGCCAGACGGTGGTCGACCAGATCGGAACCAAGCAAATTAATTCCTTCTCTCCTCAGATCGAAGTGGATAGCATATCATGTCCTTTGGATAACTGGATGAACCATGATGAACGTTTCGTAAAATGTAAAGGAACACGAAGCTGAAAATAAGACCTGAAGCCCAAAAATCAAACATCTCAACAAAAATATCACCCATGTTCACCCCACGGTCGACGCGTTTTGGGGCGAGCGAAACACTGCTTTCAACGGCACGGGAGCACTGAGGCCTCGCCCTTGAGGCCGAGGCCAACAAGGCGTGTGGAGAGGATCTGTGGAAAGCAAAAGGTTAACACAAACACCACAATAGATGTTATATGATGTTATAGTATATAGGCGGTGTTATAGTATACACGATAATTCATGCAAACATATAACTAAATATACACAGCCAGCCGATAGGATCGATAGGCTAGGCTGAAACTGTTTTCGGCAAACGAAGTGAGTCTTTAGGTCTGGGGGGGCAGGTCGGGTAACGTGGATGTAAACCACGTTAGCCTGCTGTGTTTTTACATTGCCAAGGAGGTGATTTTTGGTGGGTTGGTGATTTGCATCAGCAACCTGCTCTAACATCACTATTTAGTTATGTATTGAATCTTTGGGTGACATTCTACTCAGACTTACTGGTTCACGGCTTTAACATGTGAAAGTCAACGTGGCGGCCTTTTCTGGCTGGTGACGGTGCAGGGGTGGATGAGGAAGCTCTTCTCTTCAATCCATGAGGCTTGAATTCAGCTCACATCCCTCAATCAGCCCACAGAGGACTCGACAAACCAGGTTGGAAGGACCAGATCCTCAATATACATACACCATATTCAGAATAGATGGCTAAATCCGGAAACGAGGAGATGGCGCCAGAAAGTGCCAAAAGCGCCTGCGGAAAACCGTGATAAACAAAACCATACATGCCTATGCATCCTCAAGCATAATAAATGGCATTCCACCCATTCACAGAGTAGACTTGCGCCATCTTCTGCAAAGAACGCTGGTATAAGATGTTGATTTCTGTAGACAACCTCTCTGTTAAATTCCAATTGTTTTTAATGTTCTTCTCTTTGAACTGTCTTTCTCTCTCCTTCTTTCATATTCTCTCTCTCTCTCTCTCTCCTTCTCTTCCTTTCTCCTTTGCTATCCTTTCCTTAATGTCTCCTTTCCCTCTCCTTGGATGCCTTTCTTTTCTTTCCTTTCCTTCATTCACTTATCCTTTCTCTATCCTTCCCTGGCCTTTCCCTTCACCTTTCCCTTTCCTTGCACTTGCACTTGAACCAGTAACAGAACGCTGCACGATAATAGCCCAGTAGATGGCACAACCCTTGTGTAAAAAATGATTAGGATGGTTGAGCCAATAGATACTGCCAAGTAGATGGCGCAACCCTTGTGTAAAAGATGATAATTATGGTGGCGCCTATAGATGGCGCAACTCATTTCCCTATCCTTTCCAGTCCTTCTTGTATCTAACATGTTCCTTTTTTGCATCTCCTATTGCTTAATTCTGTTCACTTCTCCTTTCCCTTCCCTTCCCTTCCCCTTCCTTTTCTGGACTAGTCTTTCCATCTACCGTATTTCTTTTATTTTTCTTTTGTTTGCTTTCCTTTCCTCACCTTTGCTTTCCTATCCGTTCCCTCTCCTCTCCTTTTTCTTTCCTTTCCTTCATTCACTTCTCCTTTCTCTATCCTTCCCTTGCCTTTCCCTTCACCTTTCCCTTTCCTTGCACTTGCTCTTGAACCAATAACAGAACGCTGCACGATAATAGCCCAGTAGATGGCACAACCCTTGTGTGGAAGATGATTAGGATGGTTGGGCGAATAGATACTGCCAAGTAGATGGCGCAACCCTTGTGTGAAAGATGATAATTATGGTGGCGCCTATAGATGGCGCAACTCATTTCCCTATCCTTTCCAGTCCTTCTTGTATCTAACATGTTCCTTTTTTGCATCTCCTGTTGCTTAATTCTGTTCACTTCTAACTTCTCGTATCCCTTCCCTTCCCTTCCCCTTCCTTTTCTGGACTAGTCTTTCCATCTATTTCTTTTTATGTTTCTTTTGTTTGCTTTCCTTTCCTCATCTTTGCTATCCTTTCCTTAATGTCTCCTTTCCCTCTCCTTGGATGCCTTTCTTTTCTTTCCTTTCCTTCATTAACTTATCCTTTCTCTATCCTTCCCTTGCCTTTCCCTTCACCTTTCCGTTTCCTTGCGCTTGCACTTGAACCAATAACGGAACGCTGCACGAGAATAGCCCAGTAGATGGCACAACCCTTGGTTTCCTCTTGCCAATTTTCTTTGCAACACCGCTCTCACAAAAAATCCTTTCACAGAAACCACTCAAAACACATCATTGGACAGGTGGCTTGCGCCATCTAATGTCGTGCTTGCTGCTTTCAGGGCCAAACATTTTATAGCGGTCTTTCACGAAACGGATTGTAAAAGTAGATGGCGCCAAACCCATCCCCGACTAGTAGTTTCCCATTCATTGTCACGGCTTTTCGCCTAACATGGCTTGCGCATCTGCATCTGGGTCTTTTCGTTCCAGAGGCGTTTTTCCCTACACAATAAATGGCTCACTACAAAAACCCGAGCCAAGTTTTCTGACCCCAGAGTATATATATATACACACATACTGGTAGCGATGCCAGGAGACCCTAGTAGCGTCCTTGCTCCTAGTAGTAAGGCCAGGAGCCCCTAGTAGCTTCTTGATACTAGTAGTATATACATGCATATACAAGAAATAGCCAAAACCATCATTACTCACCGTATTCACGTTCGCAAGAGCCTTTCTTCTTCACAGATGAAAAAGACGACAGGGTGCTGCAGGGTGTTTTGCCATGTGATGCAAACAGGTCTAGCAATTGGTTGCTCCTGGCTTTCGTTCCCCGTTCTCAGGTGCATAAGATATGGGAACTCCCCAAGAACAAATGAACAACCAAACCTTTCAGAGGCATACAACCACGTAGTGCCTTACCATACCTAAGCATTCTAAGCATTCTTTCCAATATTTCCAATATTGTTTGAGTTCGATGGGTACCGGTCACTCTTTACGAGCTTGTTTGTTACAGTACCCATATGTGTGTTGTGCAAGTGCACAGATACCAATGGATGAGTCATACACATCGCAGGATTTCTCGACTGGCTCGAGGTCCACATGGCTTATATACCTTGTCTTCTCGCAGATAGATGTGAACCATCCCTGGGATCACTGAGAAACCATGTTCATCGTTTGGCAGGATTGTGAGGAAGTCCACCACCACCATCATCATCATCATCATGAACATCGGAAGCCTGGCATGTGAAATGTGAAGATGTGGAAAGTTAGGAGCTTTTGCTGCACGACCCATCACGACCACCCAGAAGAGCAAGGTTTGAAGCGTGAACAAGCTTTGCAGCTTTGCAGGTATTTGTGCTTTTTCAGACTTCAGAAGGGTCTTTCAAACGAGGACCCCGTGGCATTCCATGCATGTGAAGACCTTCCACAACTCGCAGTCCACCAGAAACTCGGCCGCTGTGCTCCGCCGGTTCACGACCACATCCTGGGGAGGATCGATTCCATCTGGTTGGACATTCAGAATATCTTTCATTTGTTTGACAAATCTTACAAGCATACATTCAGTTCTTTTCAATTTCCCCATATACGTAATGAAAGCTTATCTCCATGCAATTCACCAATCACCAACAATTGCAGGATTGGTGGGTTGTACCACCAAAGTGATGACCATGCCAGCCCACGGGCTGACCGGTTGGGTTGAAATGACGGAGGTGCTGAGGTGGACGAGGAAGAAACGAAACGATGTGAGTCACGTCCGACTGAATCGAATCCCGAGTTCGCACGGAGCAAGGGTCTGAACACTTGGGATGACTTGAACAGAATATTCCTCATGTTCTATACAGTATCAGTATTGATTGAAACGCTCCACCACTGGAAACAGCTGGGAAGATCTTCCCATCCAAGGCGAGCTGAGCAAAGGTTGGTGCACAAAGCTCAAGGCATGTTTGAAGCATCTGGGCTGCTTTGTGGGGTCGGACAGTTACTGGTAGCATGCATATCCAAGCATGTAAGTATATAGGTTAGGTGGTTGTCTTCCTAAACATACAGGGCCAAAACATCATGCATGTTCAGATTCAGTAGCTCAAATCACCACAGTTGTGGACTGGAAGGATACTTTTCACATCTCAAAACTGCTTAGGGATGACAATCCTTCCGTGCCTGAGACTGGATTCTTGACTTCGCTGCGGGTTCTGAGGCATCCAGCCTTTGATATCACCATGAGAGCCTCGGCCGATGAGGAATGTATAGGAAGCCAGGAAGCCTCCAGATATCCAACTACACCCCCGAACTGCTCGTTCAAACTGTCAGCCGTTTATTTATCGAAGAATGGACATCCTTTGGATATATTGATTGACTGCAACTCAGAGGAGCAAGTGGAATCTGATAGATGCGCCAACTTGTCATACAGGTCTTTGGCTGCTAAGCTCAGAATGGTGCACAGTCCTACTTTTCCTACACTTGCATTTGCCTCAACGCTACTCAGGTGCGATCATTGTGATGAACGCCGTCATGTTCGCGTTCGAAGCACAGTATAAAGTGCCACGTCAGCATGTCTACATGGTGTTTCGTTGGAATACTTCCGGGTTCCTACCAGCAAGATGAGGATCCGGAACCGTCGACCGCTCAACAGTTCGTCCCACTGAGAGGCCCTTGCACGATGGAATAACATGAGGTGTTTCCATGTTATTTGAATTCAAGGGATGCTCACAAGAAAAGTTGCCCTGTTCACCTGACATTTGCTGTCATTCCGACTCCCAGTACATCAAGAGGACCTCCGTTCTCCAGTGTGAATTAGTCACAGGTGGCCCCTACAGCACTAGTGCCTTTGCTCACATGCAAAGTATCTTTCTTTGGTGATGCAGGTTGGAATGATGCCATGCCCAAATGCCAATCACCTCAACTCAATGCTGACTCCGACTTTGACAATCATCCCACGTAGACACGGACTTGTCAACATGATATCTCGCAGAGGGGATTGATCGACCTGGGTGTTTGGAAACCTCCAGAAACATCGCAAGAACAGCAGGTGGTGAAACATATTCGACATGCTTTAACAATTGCTTTCACCCATCTCGAGTCGTTTGAACACTTTACGATAGAAAGGAAGAACCGATGCAGGACCTGTCGACATGGGTCCGCCTTCTCAGGGCTTTGAACTGGCGCATCAGTTAGACTTGACCGAGGACGACCTGGCTGTCATTGATGTTCGGACTCTCCCAGTCCTGAAAAGATCAGCTAGTAGTAACAAGTGCCACGCTAGTAGTAACAAGTGCATCGCTTCTAGTAACAAGTGCCTTACTAGTAGTAACAAGAAGCTAACAAGAGCAGCAAGAAGCTAGCTAGTAACAAGTGAAATGCATAGAAATTGGGCCTGTCCTATTACCTGTAACAGTCAGTAAACAATTATCACTATTTTTGGACAAGGCCTAACCATCATCATCCACTGTTACAGGTAATTGGATAGACCCAACATAGAACTGCCAGAAACAGGTGGATTTCTTATTTTTGGACGTGCTTCTACATAGACAACTGGCTGAATCATAGATATCTATGACCCTATCTATGAACGTCTACATCAAGTTTGCTCCTGAAAAGCCGTTTGCTGCTAGTTCTGGAGTTAGCGGGAAATGAAGGGGTTGGACTTATTCCAGTGACTCGACAGGGTTTCTGACTGTGGATGTCATGTTCCAGTCTTCATGCTTGAATCATCGAGCCCTTTTGTAGCCCACTGGTCAATGGAGGCGGGCCAGCTGAAACAAAGCGCACCGCGAAGGAAACGCTGAAATGGCTGCAGTCTTCATTCGTGTTCCTTCTTGGGATTCAGGATTCCCAGATCAACTACTCACCCCACATCAACAGACAAACCCGCCGCAACGGGTGCATCTCCACCCTACGCCTCCTACGCCTTTGCAGGACTCGGCTTTGTTGCTTTGGCCAGGCGCCATGGAAGTTTTCGAGGCGCCGAAATGGGGGCTTCGAGGAAGTGTTATAGTATGTTATAATGTATGTTAATCTGTTATAGTTACAGTCTTGAACTCGCTTGAACCGCTCAAACTAATTCTAGCTTTATTGGATGATCCAACACCTTTGAATTTTGGGGTGTTGTTGCGGGAAGGTGCCTGTTCCAATAAGAAGGGTCCTGTTTTCACATCAAAGGGCCCTTAACGGGTCATCTATATACTGTATCTACCTACTCACAGAGCCCACCACTGTCCACCTATGTCCACCTGTTTCCATAATTTTGTTGGTTTCGCCAGGTGGCAGAGTTGATCTTCGGCATCATCTTCACAGCTGAGGTTGCTCTGAAGATTTTTGTGGAGCATCTCCGCTTCTTCCGCCGCTAGGTTTAGTGAGACAGAGACTTCGAAGTCTTGCTTTGTTTGTTTCCATTTCCTTGTCCATGCTCGCATGACTTTCGTGTCCTTCCTTTTTCCGCTTGTCTTCTCCGTTCCTGTCCATCGTGCTTTTCGTTTTCGTTTCATGTCCCTCTACCTGTTCATTCTTGGCCTTTCCTTGTTGTTCTTGGATACTTGTCCTTGTCCTTGTCATTTTTGTCCTCCTTTTCTTCTCTATGCCTTTGGACATGTCCTCTTCTCGTTTTTCTTTCCTCTCCTGCGCTTCTGCTTCTTTTCTGGCCTTTGTCATTTTCCTTACTCCTCGGTGCCCTTCTTTTTGAATGTACATTCCCTTTACATGTGCAGCTTCACACTGGACCATCAACAGCACTGCCAATTCGTTTCCGTACAACACCATTTAACTTTTCACATCCTTCCACTCTGTAGCAAAAGAGGAGGCACAAAAAAACAACAAGGGTCCAACGCGGGAGACGCTCGACTCCAATTGAAGGTTTCCAGCGGCGGCAACACTTTTGGACTTAAAACGTACTTCTTCTACTACTTCTTGAGGTTCTTGCATGGAATTCTCGTGATTGGTTACCAAGTGGCCACTTCTGGAAGACCTAGGTGAGGGCTGGAATTGGCTTGATTTCATTGTGGTCTTCGTGTGGCTCTTTGGAAAGACCGGACAGTCCTTGCCTGTGAACAGCTGCTCGGTCGAACAGTCGAACAGACACTTGATGTCCTTCATGAACCTTCCAGAATCGTAGCTTGATCCAACTTGGCCCTCCATAGCTGACCCCCCAAAAAGCTGCTTCAAGAATCTGATAGCACCAATACTATCAAGTGGATTGCATGGGTTGCATGTCACTGATCACTCTTGACACTCTGGTGATCCAGGTGTTGCGGGCCACAGCTTCACTCTCGGTGTGTTTGCTTGGGAGGGGCTTGCTGTTCTACATGTTACTAGTAGCTTCTAGCCACTAGTAGTAATGCACTTGTTACTAATACTACTAAGAGGATTCCAAGGTGCGAAGAGCCTCGAAGACCTTTAGACTTTGGTACATTAAAAGAACAACGAAAGGACAACACGAAGGTAAGAGCCTCTTTAATAGAATTATCACAGGGGCCCTTACCTTTCTAAAAGCAATTCTTATAGTATGTTACAGTATTTCTTCTATGTGCCCGGAAAACACAAATTGGACAAGAAAGGCATGTCAAAAACCACAAGAGCCTTGCAGGGAAGTCATTTTTTTTGGTGCCTATTGCACGTGGATCAGGAGCTAGGGAGTTAGGAACATATCATGTAGTTTGATGTAATTGGTCTATATATTGGTGAAATATAATTTGGAGTATGCTCCCACTGGACGCGTGAGTAGATGAACTGGTATACAGTAAATTATATCACTATAGGTATATGAGATATGAATCCAAACAGGGCAAGCTTAATGTGGTCAGTGATTCCTTGACTGACAGATCAGATCGAGGTCAAATCCTCCGTCTGGGTCGCCTCTTTCGGCTCTTGCGCATGCTGCGGCTAGTGAGGCAAATGAACTTTGGAGAAAAGTGGTTCATATAGGATGAACTGGTGAGAATCTGAGATGATATGGTGAGCTCATCCTGAACCAGTATCCAAAACCACAGGAAACGATGGACCAACAACATTCAAGTCATCCAGTCAGCCAAAGGAAGACCATGACCATCTTTCTGGTCTACCTTTGGCCGCTGATCATCCTCTCATTTGAGTTTATGCATTAAAAGTTACCAAAGAGACCAGCGTGATATTGGCCTTGGGTGCCTCCAAAGATTCCCACGTGCCTGTTCCCGACGTCTTAGTTTGACGCAACGGCCCGTTTTCCTCTCGTTTCGACTTCTTTTTTGGCACAAAACGACTGAAGCTGTTGGCACCTTTCAAAGTCTTTGGTGAAAGGAACGGAGTGTTTTTCAGCACCGGGGTGGTTGAGTCCGAAGCTTTGTTGAGTCCGACAGCACCCGAGCTTTTTTTGGAGATCCCTTCAGCTGCAAGGATGGCAGCTACCGAATCTCTCACAAAAAGAGCGGCTCTGAACTAAAGATGAACTATAGTAAGTATTTTGCAACTAAACCACTTAACATTCAGAATTTATAATTCACCACCCTCAACATGCGAACGACCTTGACTTGTCCCCGGATTTCAGAATCTGGACTGCTGCGCTGCTGCACGAGGAAAGAATTTGACGCTCTCTTCTTGATGACCACGGCCATTCGAAGTAGTTTCATGGTCTTGGGATGGACTATCATCCTTCTCTTCGTATGCCAAATGCTGCTCGGGCCACGTTTGTTTTGGATGTGTTCAAACATGGCTGATGACTTTAGCTTTATGTGAAACGCGCTTGGGGACTTGACCGCATCCTCTTGCAGGTGGTAGAAGTCCACTTTAGAAGGGTAGTTGCACATCCTTGCGTATCATCATGACAACATCAATCACTGCCAATGCTCAATGACAGCAACCACCTACGTGACAAGCCCCAATCACAACACCAGTAGCACGCCAATATATTGTCAGTGCAAGCCACAATGATAGCAGCAATGGCTGCAACAGTATCAAGCATCATGACAACATTATAACATTATATACAATGACACGAGCAAGGGCAACCCGGAATGACACGAAATGACACAGAATGACATGATAGAACAACATCAATGACAAACTAACAAGTCACGAGGACAACAAGTCACAAGGACGACGACGAGGAGGAGGACCTGCCATGCCGTTTTCAGCCAACTATTTGATGACAGCAGTCCACAGAGATGCCACAGAGATGATAAGTGACAATTGCCAGAATGGCGCGACACCTGTGCCTTTCTAATCGAAAAGACCGTGGAAACAGCGTGGTTTGAGGTCTCCAAGAGTTTTCTCAACTAAACAGATTGCTCACTGCGCATTGTTTGCATTGTTCTTCAACATCTAGGTAGTTCCGCGGTTTTGGAACCTAACTCGCGACTCTCACACAAGCGAGTTGTATTTACATGCATTTACAATATGTGCACTAAACCGTTTCCTATAGGCTCCAAAATCTTTGTTGACACACACACACACACTCATGCAGCTATAGAAACTCCAACACCCTCAATGCGAGGCAAACCATAGATTCGTAGACCAAAGAAGAAGACTACATAAGAGCACTTTAGTAGGCAAATTGTCAGTCTCATGGACTCTTGTATCAGCACATATCAGCAGCGGACATGGAGATCGTTTGCTGTTTGCTGAGGCTTTGCGCACTGGTGATCCAACAGAGACTTGGCAGATGTTCTGACGAATCTTACAGTTGACTATGCCAGAGCTGTTTCTTCATGGTCAAGTGGGCAGCTTTTTGAGACATGCAACAATTGTGTCCTGGCCAAGTCACGAAAGGTAGCTTGAGCTACCTGAGTTCTCCTTGCTTTAGCAAAAATGTATTACAATCAGGAGTTGGGATTGTGCATTGAGTTTGGTCCTGTAAGAGTTGATTCTGTTCGTCGGGGGGGGGGCCCCCCCCCCCGGATCAAATCCCCCCTGCGCCGGTTCACGCCGTCATGGACTTTTACCAGGGTTGCTTGTGATTGCCTGCTACCTTTCGTTCACCCCCTCCTCTCTCAAGTTTCTTATACTCACTGGCTTGTGTGTTCGAACATCGTTTTTGCGCTCTGGTGAGAAGGTGCAGCCATCAGAGGGTAGTTCATAAACATCCATGGATTTGCTATGACAACATGACGACCACACCTCCGGGGTGTCCAAAAGGTTGAGTAAGCCAACACAAACTGATCACCCTCACGAAAAAAGCCTTCGGCCGATGGAGTCACCGAGTCAACTCGCACAAGGACGTTGTTTGGCTTCTACTTTGACCCGAAGCATGAGGCAAGCTTCCAGGCACAGCCACCGGAAAGCGGTTGGAAGGGCCATTGCCACATAGCCGAGAGCAGGGGCAAATGAATGCAGAATGCAAGTGATCCGTTTTTTCTCCAAGCCATTTTAGCGCGGGATGTACGTGGTGGATGTGTATTTGGTTGAAGAGACCAGGGCTTTCCTGAAGCAACCGACAGTTTCATATGATTTCATCATTGGTGCTTGGGGTTGCTGGCTGGTGTGCGGGCCCCCGATTTCAGCTCGCTTACATGATATGTTTGTTTCTGGTCACGACTGCGGTCACAGCGATCAAAGGACTGGAAGTCTGGGTGAATGTTGCTTCAGTTTTTCACGATATTCTTTGTGTTGACTCTGGGGTATATGGAACTAGCCCTGACGCAAAAGACCAAGCTGACCTCACCAAGAGCTGACAGGACCAGCAAGATGTCTTCGTCTATTTCGGCACCTTTACGCGCTCGTTGCTCTCACTTTTTGAGATGACCTTGGCCAATTGGCCTCCTGTGGCGCGCTTGCTCATGGAGCATGTCACAGAATCTTGCAGAATTGGACAGCTCCCTTCAGCGAGTGCAAACTGAAAAAGCGTATTATGCGTGAAGCTAAAGAGTATGCATGAAGCTAAAGAGGCAAAATCGAGCCTGAGTCACCCTGTAAGGCTTTGTCCAGTGACCAGAAGCTCGAAACATTCGCTCGAAGCAGGAAAGTCATGGGGTTATCAATTCTTGCATAAACACTGCATTTTTCACGGAAGGATTTGACCATGAGTTGCGTCATTCTTTCCGTTTGTCTTCCCAGCAAGCGACATGAAATGGTCTGATTCTTTGCTTGTTTCCTTTCTTGTCTTTCTGTAGGTTTTTGGCGTATTGATGCTCACTACCTCCTTGTGGTCTACGCGCGCTTCTACTGGGCGGTGAGCTCAGTGCATTAGGAAATGTGGGCAGCGCACTTTGATCTTAGTTGTCTAGCTGCTAGCTCTCAGCTTATGAGGAAAATCCGGCCGACTACCTTGCTCGTGCAGTGCAAGAAGCTCAGAAGGAGGGTACGACCCTTGCCCATCGGCGAGGAGGTGGAGCAGCGCTAGGAATTCGAGCCCCGCCCGGGAAGACCCGTGCTACCCTGCACCATCCATGGCTTCGTTCAATCAGATGAAGCTGTGAAGGAGAAGTACTTGGGCGAGCGTTTTGGGTGGGATTCGCTTTATGCTGCAGGAAAATGGTCTGCTTGAAGAGCAACTTGGTTCTTGTTTCGGGCGTCGCGCTGTTGCTCGATTTTGGGTTCTCCAACGCAAGAACGTTATACAAAAACAATTTGTTTGTCATTTGTGGGTCCATCCAAGGGGTTCTTTCATGCAATTCTTGAGGCATCCCATGTTCGAGGACTATACTCTCCACTGCCGCAATGCGCTTCAAATCTTTGGCCTCACACTCATTGAGTTTGTGGCGTGAGTGGCTGCGCGGCTTCACTTTCACTTTGAGGCTTGTCACCACTTCATCGCTGAAATCTGCAACCCTTTCTCAAATCAACCTTCGACCCATTTCTGACTTCAGTTTTCCAAGCCTCAAAGTCAAGAACCATCAAGCTCGGTTTCACGGCCCGTGCGGGGGTCCAAGCGTGCGGGCTGCAAAGATGCCTTCGCATCTTCCGAGGGTTCAGAGTTTCAGAGTTGTTTCAAGCCTTGGAGCGCATGATTGCCAGATTCAAGAAGAAACCGGGGTGTTGCTTTCACGACTTTCGGGCCTTGTACTTTTTGGCAAGAAGTTGCACCGTATTCCGACCAGTCAAAATGATGGGGCTCCTGCGCCCGCCAAGACTAAGCCTAAGCAGGTCGCAAGACTGCGCCTGAGCCAGTGTGGTCGCCTGCGCCGCCGTCGTAGACCGGAGCCTGTATCAATATTCAATCTCTGCCTGCTAAACGTCAAATGGGATTCTTCGCAGGGTGAAGAGAAGCCCACTTGGCCACAGGTTGTTGGTCCATTCCTTGCGTGCTGCCTTTTAAACGCTATTCAAAGGTCGTGGATGTCAAGCAGCGCCTGGAGGCTGGGAATGCCCCAATTGGCACTGCTTGTCTTTGCCCCAATCATCCAGCTTTGGATGACTGCTTAATACTGCTTATATGCTTAGCTCAGTTGCGAAGTTCAGCTTTGCTTTTCTGGTTGCTTCTCCTAAGGAGGTTGCCATTCGATGCTAGGCGAGTCCTGTTGCCAGCTTGGGCTGCGGTCTTAAATTTTGGTAACTTTACCCGCCACAGTGAGCACAGTGGTTCGATATTTTGCCAGTCGTGACACTTGGGACACCTGTACCCCTCCGAGCTTTTGCAGAAGACTTTCGCTTCTTGTTCCTGCACAACACGAATGGTTGGCAGGAGAAAAAGATTCTCTGCAAGAAGCCGCCGCGTGATGAGTCTATTTTACAGGGCTTTGTTCGGAAGACAAGAAAGGAAAACAAATCAAACCATTGCATATTGCCTTGGGAAAACAATCGGAAATAATGACGCGAATCATGGTCAAATCTTTTCGTGAGAAATGCAGTGCTTATGCAAGAGCTGAGAACCCCATGATATTTCCTGCTTGGAGAACAAGATGGCGACAAGAAAGGACAAATATATAAACAACACATCCTTTCGCCACAGCCAAGGCGAGGGACAAGCAAGACACAACAGCCATGCAGTGGGGAGAGAAATGGGGGGCAAGACATCACGTCGTGATAGCACCTAGTGGGGAGACAAGTGGGGGAGACAAGCAGGAGTCATGTTAACGCAGTGACAGTTTTTCTACGCACGAGTTTCAATCCGCGACAGTGGCAGTGTCAGCAAAGCCAAGCTCACGTGTTTTTTCGCCTGGCCGAGGAATTTTGGATGCCAGTGTGTTTGTTCCACAAGCTGACCATGGGCTTTGCAGTCGTCGGAGTCATCAACGGCGTCCTGATGCAAGAAACCTTTAAGGCCAGAGAAAGCCGCCCCATGGATTTCAATGTTCCCAAGATCTTCCAATGTTTAAAAGATCGTACGCTGGTATATCAGCAAGTGCTAGAGTAGACTTAAACAAATTGGAATTGTATATCTATACACAAGTGCCGTCACAATATGTTTCTTGATGTGTTGTGGGATCACGCGGGGTCCGATTTGTGTTGGTGTGCTGTGCATCATCCGAGTGGACTCCTTCAAGGGAGGCCACGCCATGGCCAGGTGGCCCACATGGACGACACTGTGATGGTACGTGAGACACTCGACTGGAAAAACATACTGAAACCTTGGTGATGCACGTTCGGAATGTGAACAACTTAGAGAGACCTTGATTCATGTGGGAAACTGATACTACTTCGTTTTGTTAGTACCACCAATACTATAAACGGTGCAGCTGCAACAAAAATTTGTACACCCTGGAAAATGAACATGGAACCTGAAAACCACTGGGTTGTAAAAAAAAAATCGTTTTCCAAAGGTCCATTTTCAGGTTCCATGTTACCAATGTTAATCATCCCGGGTGTACTGGCATACTCTAGTGAAAGCAACCCCGAACATTACATCTCTGTACGTAGTATATAGGCCCAAACAACTCAAGGTTCCTTTTTTTTTTTGTCGGGTTTCCAACTTTGTCACTTAATGGTGCACTGTTGTCCACCGGCCACCGCACGCGTGCGGCGGTTTCCACCACCAGCCGCTTCAGGAAGCAGCGGGCCATGCGTGCGCACCTGGCGAAGATGTCGCTGCTCTTTCAGGAAGCAGACACCTCAGGTGATGGACGTTTAGATTTGGAGGCGGGATGCTTCGTATGTTAGGTGCGTGTTTGCCTGGTAGAGCTGAATGGTTTGGTTGGTTGGTTAAGTTATGTTAGCTCTTCCCCAGAACTGCGTACGTAGTTCTCTTCTTGATTGTGAACAGACCTCTTCAACTCCACAGAACAGTTCAAATTCATGGATCCCAACTTCACTCACTCGCCTCCACAGTGACTTGCCTAGCTTCCTCACTTGAGCCTTTTTTCTCCAGGAATTCAAGTCTATTCTGGATGACTACGAGGTGAAGATTTGGTTGGCTGCCATGGATTTGGACGTGAGCGACGTTGAGGAGCTTTTTTTTCATGTTGGATGATGGCGGTGTGCCTCGGCAGTGGGGCGGTGAAGGGTGCCTCATGACTCCAACAAGTCATTTGAGCATCTCAACGGCCATCATACAGCTTTCTTTACATTTGGTCTTCAAACTTCCACTGTAAGGCTCAACCGCTCAACCAGGCACTATTTTGACCGTGAGTTTGCGTTGGAGTTTTCGCCACCCGATCCTCAGGTCCGGGAAGCAGGAGTTCATGGCTTTGTTGGCTTTGTCCCTATGTCGCTTTAATGTTCCCGAATTATGGATTTTTCGTAGTTTCTCCAAAAGCTAGGCCTCACTTGTCTTCTACAATGCTTTATTGCTAGGGTTAATTGCTTAGAAGAATCCTGCAACTCCCCAAACAAGCCCCGAGGTCGTGGTTCCCGCCCAGTCTTTCGCCCTGCCGAGGATGGACGTTTGTCCGCCGAGGAGCTGGTGAAGGGCGTGGCGAAGCTCCGTGGCGCGGCGCGAGCGATGGACCTGCGGAAGATCCATCGCTTGAGCAGCGATCTTCAAGAGGGTCAGGGGAACCTGGAGGGAGCTTGGAGATTCAGAGGGTTGGGAGTGCAGCTTGTTGGAGGGAACGCTGTTGCTGAAAGCCAGAAGATAGCAAAAAGCGGGCAGGAGTTGTAATGGTATGGGCATGTATGGGCTAGCTCTGACAGGTGCCACTTACAGTCACTTGAAGAAATCAGCGTTTGCGTCAATTTGATATTGAAGAATCGACAATGTCATTGTATATATATAATATTGTATATTTTATATAAGACCAATTGGTTGTCCAATGAAGAAGGGATCTCGCAACAATTACCCAGATTTTGCACAACCGAAAGCAACCAACCCTACTACTGACACTCGGTTCATGGAAAACTTAGTTTGCGACAAACATCCAAGACTGAACACAGGGAAGGGCGAACCCTATCTAATTTTGGCACGGGGCACAGCAATTGATGTTTGCCACAAATCATTCAACTTTTGAAGGAAAGCACCGTTTGGAGGGCCTATTTGTTGGCCTGGCAGGTCTGACAGCTATGGCGAAGAGCCAGGAGGCCAAAGATCTCAAGAAGCTTGGACTACTGTTATTAGAATATTAATAGACCGTTGTAATATACTGTAATCACTGCTAGGGGGTTACCGTGACTTACCGGATTCTCATAGAAACCGAAGGCACAACAGTATATGACAGTACCCTGTGCACTGTGGGCAGATCAGTGTTGCTAGTTGTATAGGCGTACGTTTGCTTTTGACACTGATTGTACCCAGTACAAAGCAGACATAGAAACAAAGACCCGAACATGGTCCTTCAAGTGCTCGAGTTACATTGAAGCTGTCGCAGCCTGTGGAAGACACTGCAAAGGCAGAAGGGTCATTTCAGACTAGAGCTGTGCTTGCGAGTGTTGCCACTAGGACCACCCCAAATCGTTTTGCAAGGTCCATGAAAAGCTAGTACTGCTCAGCCACTGAGGAAACTCCTCCAACGCAAGGAGGATACCATTTCTGTCTGAGCTGCCATTCCCTTAGGCACCTGACCAAGGGAGGTGTTCTGCGGATGTTAGCAAAGCACCAGGACCAAGATAGGGCAAGGAGGTCTGCAAGTAGTAGTACAAAACCAAACCTATGAAAGTATTAGTACAAAACCAAACTTAGTAAATGCATCATGTACTTTCAAGTTGGGGAGATGTTCATATGTTTGATGATGGACCTTCATGGCTTTGTCTGCCATCATGTTCAGTTGCCCGTTACCAGGTGAAACAGATTTGGATTTCTCAGACTTCCGGTGGACTGCTTTTCAACTTGGTTTCCTCAGCCGATTTTTCTGTCTTGCGACATAGTTGCCTGCTCAGGGCTTCAGAAGCCGGAAGCTAGTTGCTCCTCCGACAGGCCACAGATGAACGACCTTGCATCCAAATGCTATGCTTCATAAATATTTGGCCTTCCTCTATCCAGAGCCTTTCCTCGGAGAGCAACTCTTTGTTCGTGGTCTACGTGTGTCGACACCCAAAAGGGCCTCCAGCCACGTGCCCACGTGCGGCAACAAGCCCCCGAAGGGGGTGGATTTCACTGAGGGTCATGGGTGAGGGTGTGATTTGTCGGGTTGAAAGAGTACCTTAAAGCCTTAAAGTAAAGCCGCTGAAATGCTTATACATACTGTATGTACTTATAAAGTATCGTTGAACACAGTAAATTTGGAGGGAGTGTTTTTTTTTGTTTTGCGGACTGTAAGGACCAATTGCAAGTCCATACCAAGGCCAGAAGCTTGATTGACCTTTGGGTCTAGGCTGTATTGAATGAGAACTTGATAGAGCTTGTGTGTTGGGGTCAAAGGCTGGCAAGTGTTTTCATCGATTGCGAACCAGGAAGTGGCTCAAGAAATGTCACTGGAATCAACGCAAGAAGCTATATATCTACTGTGTAAAAATATAATATATATATATATACACACCATTTTTGCGCAGTTTGCAAGTAACTATTTCAAGGAATTGCTTGGTGGACCCCCTTTCGTGGAAGATATGGCCAGATGTTCAGCAGCAAACAAGATTGTTGATCGAGCGGCACGGCACTGCTGACGTTGATCCTCGACCATAGAGTGCAGCCGATTGCTGCTTATTGTGATCCGTGTGTGTGACATGGATCCCTGACCTCATGGGGGTGAAGCAGAGAGAATAGAGTATGGTCAGGTTCCATCTTGGACAGCAAGTACAAGTGTCCTCAATTATGAACTTCCAAAAAAAAGTCGTGCAAATAGTGTGTTTTCGTCGATTCGTAGGAAAGTCTCAAGGATCTTGAAGTCTCATGGCCTAGTGGGTGGCTAAAGTCTGTTGCGGTAAAAGGCAAAGTAGCATGAAGTGGCAGGGGTTTTGTTTGTTGGACACCCCGCTAGGAGCGCTAGTCGCACGGAGGGATGTGAATCTGAACGGCTCAAGAATAAGTTGGGAATTCATAGACACTGGAAATCGTCCTTCCCTTCAAGAACTTCCAAGCGCATCCAAGAAGAGTACCGTGGCAACGGGACAAAGACTTAAAACTTTGGACTAACTTAGGTGGGTTCCGGGTTGGAAGTTGATTTGTACTTGGAAATACAACCACAACATGTTGGAACCTCTTACGTATTAGTTTCCTTAGATAATTATCCTGTCGACCTGGATCTGGCGATCCTCCATGAGCTGAGCAGCATCTCGTGGCGTCTTTCAGAGCTTCTGGCGGTGACGAGTGCCATGCAACAAAAAGCGGAGAAGTGTCCAGATGGCTTCGCTAGTAGTAACAAGCGCATCGCTACTAGTAACAAGTGCCTTACTAGTAGAAACAAGAAGCTAGTAGAAACAAGTGCCATGCTGTGAGCCGAAGGCGACCCAACAGAATTTGGTGATCAAATCAGCTTACAATGTCTGATGAAAGAGGCTTTGCGCCTGGCGAAGGCTACAGGTCATACTGCCTGTGCTGTTGATGGGACTGCGATCTGTATATTTGCACGACTCTGGTCCACTGGAATCACATTAGTGTTCCTCACTTGTTTTCTACAGCTGACAACTTGGGTTTCTCTACACTTTGGGTTTCTTCTAGGCTTGAAACGCTGGCTACTTGCTCGTTTGCTACAATCGCTTCTCTTTCATGTTTCCTTTCTTTGTCCGGGCATTCTTGTGCACTTGACCGGGGCCTAGCCTAGCAACGACTATGGTGTTGGAAGAGGGACAATTGAGCCTGCCTTTTTTTGGGACGCCAACTTCGGAGGAGTACTGTCCACCTCTGGGGACGGACGCTTTGGACCTGAGTGGGTTGTGTTGTGTCAGAACACCTGAGCCTGACCGGTTCTTTCTCCAATGTATGGTAGCCTGTGCTGCTCCAACACCAGCTACATCGTCTGACTGGTAACCCCTGTGTAAGCTTGTCTAAGTCTTGTTGGGCTTCTGCCACAGCCACTGTCGTTCCAAGTGGATTGTCAAAAAGATGAGAGCCACAGAACCAACAAGCCAAAGGAAACAAGACTCCAACAAACAAAACATACAAACAAATCCCAGCCGCAGTGAAAGTCACCAAGCTGCTGGCGTTCCATCCTTCTCAGGTATTACAGAGAAACAACGGTGAGCGCATTGGCCCAGGGTCTTTCACTGGTTTTAGAACTGCTGTACTTTTTTGTGGGGGGCATTTTTGCAATCCCTCGAACTGTTGCAGTTCTTACAACTGTGCAGTGATGCGACAACAAAAAATCGCCACTTGCAACATGAGACCTCCCGAGGATTCAACACCTTGGGGTGTCATTGCCTGGCTCATGTCCAGTTTCGCTTGGGTTTAGGTTTAGGCGTTTTGCTTATTCATGGAATGAACGGGTAGCGCACTAACTAGCCGCTAGCCTGGTGGGCCTTTGCAGCTTCACATCACTAAGCGTACTGGTTTGTTGTCTTAGTGAGCGTACTGGTTCAAGAACGTTTACCTGGTCCAGCCTTTGAGGGGACTCCATGTTGTCCAGAATGCAAACTCTCGAGAAACATTACGCCGAAGGAAGAGACCCCACATGCAACCTGGAAGAAACATTACGCTCGGTTTCTGGAGGAACATCGTCTTCCAGTTTGGTCCATGCCATCAGGTTCCATGGAAGACGATCTTCCCGGGTGTATCTCTCCATGTTTGGTCGATTTTCTCGCGCAAACTCCGCTTTCGACGGAACAGGGCCCGGCGGCGACTACCGGGCCAGGGCACTCAGGGCCCAGGGCCAATTGTTGGGTGGTAGGCAGCTCCAGCGAGATACAGCAAAGAGAAAGTGTGACACCAGGGGTTTGTGTAGTAGATTTACCATGATTTACCAATATCGCACGCATATCCCAACAGATAGACATGCCCTTGTTTCAAAAGACCAATAACTTCCACCTGCTGTTACACTATACTTTGGGAGACAAATGCGGAACTGAGGGTTCCAGAGGGATTGCCTCTTGGTTACCACTGGTCATTGCGTTTGTCTCACTGGTCATTGCCTCCCAGCTCCGAATTGCACCATAGCCTTTTTGCAG